AAGAAAGAAAGAAAGAGAAAGAAAGAAAGGACTTATTGAGTAGTTTGCCACCACTTTGGGGAGGGAGGAATATACTCTTCAAGGGATACCAAGTGTCAAAATAGGACATTTAATCAAGTGTCAACGGCTCTTGTTTCCCTGTGCTTTAGGATTTCTAAAAAGGGTGAGGCCAACCTCAGGTTGCTTTAGCAGTATCTAAATTCGGTAATTAATTGTAAAATTTTCCTAGTGAAGGATAGTCACAACTTGGCCTAGCACTGGCCCTGACTTTCTGAGAATTTGTGCTATGTTGGTGTATATGAAAATTGATTAAATAAAAATGTTGATTACATATTCCTCTACTATAGACTGATACAGAGGCTTTATGCAAAAATGTTGCTGATTTTGACCTCCCTTTGAAAAAAGCCATTATCAAAAAATAACTCTTTTCCCACCTCTCGATCCTTGCCAGCTCCCATAGTAATTCTCAAGTCTGTAACTGAGAGGGTAACAAAAACCATCCCGTAAGGGGAGGGAACGTGCTTGCCAACTCCAGAGAGTTCCCTTGCATGTCTGGGAACTAAGTCTGGGCTCTTTCCTAGAGAGAAGGACAGCTTTCCCGGTAAGTGCCACCTTCCCCCACCCCACCTCACCACCATGCATAAGTAGTGGTCTGGCATCCACAGTCTGGGATCAAAAAGCTATGTCTTGTTTCGGTTACCACAGTTTCAGTGACTGTGAACCATCTCTAGCGAGTCTGCCATTTATCTCTCGATTGCTTTCATCACAAAAGCACCGAGGATAAATGTTGGGCCGGCCGTCCCTCCCCCACCTAGTAAAACACAATTTAAGTTTTTCAGACCTCGGCAGCTCTTTTAGACTAAATGGAATTCAGCCATTCAAGCAGGAGGATGTTCCTTTGAATGTTCCTCAAGGCGGTTCTGCAGCATTTAGTCCCATTGTAATTTATCACATGTGTAGTTAATTGACTTCTGTCTTTCCTGCTAAACTGTACGTGCCTTGAGGGCAGGGGCTGATAACAGGACGCTACTTCCCAAGTCAGCTCCTTGCTGTCACCTGCTAGCCGTTGTAACTCTTCCCGCCTGTTGCCTGATCTCCTCCTTGTGCCCCCCTCCTGCCTCATCCTCCAGCACACCAGGTTCTCCTGCCTCAGGACCTTTGAATGTGCCCTTTCCTTGGCCTGCAGAGCCATTCCCCAGACCCTACACAGCATTGCATCATTCCCTTGCCTGCTGTATTTTTTTCTCCTTAGCAGTTATCAGCGCCTAACATATTACACATTTTCCATATTTTCTTGTTTGGGAGTTTCCCCCACTAGAATGTGTTAGTTCCAAGATGATAAGGATTTTTGTCTCTTAAATGTTGCATCCTTAGCATCTGGAACATAGTAGCCCCTTGATTAATAATAGGATACATGAATGAATAAATGACCACCTTTCTAAGCTAAGGCACCCATTAGCCAGTTCAGATGGGTGTTGAGTGTGGAATCTACCAGGAGTCCTGAGAAGTACTACCTCCTCCCCAAATGAGGCCCCCAGCCAGATCCCCAAACACGATAGGGCTACCTGGGGCATCTCCAGCCTCAGCGGGACAGATTAATTTATAAAACCTGCTAAGCTGACTGACTTGGCAGTAATGGGCCTGAGACATGGGAATGCTAGGCAAAGACTTGGCCTCAGTAATGACTTCAGTGCCTTAAAACCCTATTGTGGACTTTTTGGCGATTTATTTCAAAAATACGTTTTCAGCACATTCAGTCTTTTTAGAATAAAAACTTCCTTTTCCCATGGCATTCTATATGTTCTGTACTCTGTATTAAGTAGCAAAGTAGGGTTTTTAGGAATATGTCTTGGTGCCTAGAAATATGGGTAGCTTCCATTCTTGTTTTCTGTGTCTATAGATGCTTCCAGTGGGCTTTAAATTTTGTCATGTTGTTTCAGTGGGTCCAGAACTCCTGCTCCCCTCCTTCAATTATCTAATTTTCTGAGTTTAAAACAGATTTAGAAACTAAAAAACAACAGAGTCCAGAAAGCAAACATGAAAACCTAAAATTAGGCCCTTAAGAAGACAAGCAAAAAACTAGATAGCTTCCGAAGAAAAGTGGGGGGAAAGGACAGTCTCATCCCAGTGGAGGAGAGAGAATTTCAGATGTCAGGATGCAGGGAAATGCAGTTTCTAATTTGAGAGTAGATGCACTTAGAAAGATTTACATATTCCACATGTATTGAGATAGTTCTGTATTTTAATATTCTCTGTTCTTTGAGGAATTAAAAATTTTAATAGGTAAACATCAAGATAGTAAAATAGTTTTTCATCAAAATAAAAACCTATTTCCTGAGACAATTCTACCCAGATGTAGAAGTTCCTACCAAGACTTGGTTGCCAAATCTTCAGTATGTATCTTATCGATCCGAAGTTTGTGCAGCATAGTATTTTTCTATCGTTAAGTGACACGGACAGTTCTGAAAACATATTTTACATGGACTTTGTCATGGTTTCTTTTTATTCCTGGGGTAACTAATTAGGCCCTTTAAAAAATGCTCCTGATGTTTGCATCTATTTTCATGAAAATCATTCCACGAAGCTATTCTCCTGATAAAGAATGAAGATTTCCTTGTTGCCGCCACACCAGAGTTGATCAGATCTCTGAGAAGTGAGTTTGGTGTCTGCAGGTAGAAGCTCAAAGCTGTTGACGCTCAATTAGAGGTAACCAAGATCCTGAACAGTCCTTCAAATGAGGGCTTCAGCCCTGGGAACAAAAAGACTCGGATAAAGCTGGCGGGAGAAAACAAATACAGGATGTGAGAGGACAATAGCAACAATGGAGTCATTAACAGTCCCTGGAGGATAACTGGCTTCTGTTAGTCACGGAGATTTACAACTGCATTCGTTTAAGAAAAGCCTCTCAACACCCTGCCTTTCCAAGGAATTCTCCCCACCCCTAGAGTTAACTAAGTAACTTGTTAAGTTGGCATTGGTGTGATTCCTTGAATTAAACTCTTTTTAACGGAGCTTTTCTTCTTGGACTTCCTCACCTTCTACCTCCTGTTTCTCCCAAAAGAGAAGAATCTTCCATTGTGGCGCTCTGGCTTTTTGAGTTTTTCTGTTTTTGTTTGGGGGGGGCGGGGAGTACACTTTTTGGTTTGTCTTGGTTTTCTCGTCTGTTTTGTACACTCAACCATGCACCCTAAAAGAGTTGTTTACCAACAACATAAAAATGTATTTCTGGCTAGATAAGTGGCAGAAATGTCTACACTCATGATTTAGGCACTCTTTAAACCCGGAATAAGTACCTCGTTAAAAAAACACAACTATCATTCATCTTCTGAAATATGATTAAATTAATAACTCCGAGAAGTCCCCAAACATGTTTTCCAGGAATGACCTGTTTTTAAAAATGTTAAATTCACCGTCCACATGTGCGGCCTCCTAGACTCGCTTTTCCTCTTTCTTATCTGAGGTTATGGACCTCAGGAGAGCAGGGGAGGGTTACAAGGTCAAAGTCTTTTCCTCCTTGGAACTTGCTGCTTGCTGGGAGGCGGTTGCCTGGAAAGTAGATGCTTTAGAGAAGAGGTTGGGGGGTCACAATTTTAATTCTGTTAAGCAACAGCTGGTTTGAGTTTCTTTCCCCTTCTATCTCCTGCTCCCTTCCTCACAAATCCATGGAGAGAAAAAAATTTGTTCAGAAGGAACCCACAACATAAAAATACACCTTGTATTACTGTGGCGCTTTATGACTGTCATCTTTGTTACAAATTGCATGTTGAGCACTATATGGATAGGCTAGAGTTTACAAAATTATACAGGAAATATAACCCAGTGCCTTAGCCAAAAGAACCTTTTAAAATACAGGATACATCCCTGGAAATCTTTTAATAATATTTTTAAACTAAAACTTTTAACGAAAATAAGTATGATAAAATAAGTATGGGGTATTCAGAGCCTGACTGCAAAGAATCATGACTGAAATATTGAAGCACGCCAAAGTGTGGGTGCCTTGTCTCTGGGTGGGAGACCTTGTTGTGTGTCTCCAAATTAGTATGCCGTCATTTGTTCAACAAATGTATACTGAGTGTCTGCTCCTCACACAGCTATGCTAGGGGCTGGGAACATAGTGGTGAGAAGTCGGGGTGTTCATATGCAAACAGGTGCATATTCATCAACTCAGTCCAGTAGAGCTGTAGTCCAAAATCACAGCCTCCTATTCTAAGCAGTTTACATGTGGTTTGGGGTTTACAAGTCAGCTCTGTTCACGTAACATTATTCTATAATAAATCCATAAATCCAACACACTTAAAAGCAATATATAATAGTGAAACAGTTAAAAAAAAAAGTAAAAAACACCACATGGTTTTATTGTTTTTATTTGGGTTTTGAAGTCTCCCATGGTTTCTTCCTCCTACACACACACACACACACACACATACACACACACACACACACAGAATAAAACTCACCTCTCTCAAATCAATGGCAAACCAGTAACAGATTTTTTCGTCTGGGTTCTTCAGCACACTGGCCTCAGGCTCTGTTGGTGTGTGGCTCAACAGCAATCAGAGGTCATAATTTCATTGGCAGTTAGCATCAGGTTTAATTTTTCTAGCATGTTACATTTACCGAAATGTCTGGTTTCAGTTATGCTTGGGCATTGACTGAATCAGCTTTGAGCAGCATGATGTCTTCAGGTACCTGAGGTTTATGGAACACATATGCTAATTGTTTTCAGTCACTTTCCTTTCTAAACACAAAAATGTGTTTTCTGAAGCTGAGTAACAGTAGTCCTTAAGGACATTGCTCATTTTTTATGTTAAAAGAAGACCTGAAGTAGGCAAAAATATCAACTTAACAAGACTGACACCTACTGATTGACATTGTTGAAAAACAGTCCCGTGAAAGTTCGGGGAGTTTTTAAACAGCTGTGTGTGATTTTTCAAAAAAAAAAAAAAAAAAATGAAGATGCTCCCTGAAAATGAACCTGTACCATTTTAATTGCCTTTTAGGAATGTGACCAAGTTCATATAGATGATGTGTCTTCAGATGATAATGGGCAAGACCTAAGGTGAGCATGTTGAAATGTGAAGCGGTTTTCTCCATTTTATAGTTTAACGGCTCAGCTAATGGAGATGAACTTTCTGTTTCGTTAATGATGGGCTTTTCTTGCATCTAAATAGCACATATAACTTCGGAGCAGATGGCTTTCCTGCTGCAGCCACCAGTGCTAATTTATGTTTGGCAACCGGTGTGCGGGGTGGTGTAGACTGGATGAGAAAATTGGCTTTCCGCTACAGACGAGTAAAAGAGATCTACAATACCTACAAAAATAACGTTGGAGGCAAGTAACCACCACCAGGATCTTACTGGATTATTAAGATAGGCTAGCTAAAACTCTCCAAGGACACACACTTATGCATCACATTTTTTTTTGGGTATCATAACTTTTTTAGAGCGGTTTCATCTGACCCGTGATTATTCTGCTGTGATTTAGTGACAGGAATGTTAGATTTGAGCCAGGCACCCTGGCTAGTCTTACCTAGTCCTGGCTGCATTCCTTCATAGTGGGTGGGACCTGGAGTCAGTTTCTTGACTTTTCTGATACTCATTTGTCCTTCCAAGGAGATGTGGGATTAACTACCTTTGGCCAAATCACTTGAGATGGATTGTAAAGCTCATTCATCTGTGTTTCAAAATGGCTTTAGCTTACAAGGGAATATGTTGACTTAATAATGAAAAGTTTAGGGGTGTGTTGGTTTCCAGCATGGCTAAGTCCATATGCTCAAAAGATGACATCCAGAATCTCTTGCCTAGGCCTTCCTTTGGGTAGGAGTCATTCTGGGTCAGTCCCTCCCATAAGGTGGCATAGGTGACCATTGACAGATCCAAGTTTATATTCTGTGAGTTTAGCACCTCAGTTGAGTAGAAAAATATCTTCCCCAATAGATACAGCAAAAGTTCCAAGACTAACTTGCACTGGCCACGCTGCGGTCATACACCTACCCTGGGAGCCAGAGGGTAGTGTTGGCTCTGTCCAAACTCCATGATTAGAGGAATGGTGTGAGCCGACTCCTCAAAAAGAGATGACTTCTATAACCAGGGGAAGGGATGCTAGGAATGCAAAATCAACAGATGTTTCCTACAATACTAAATAAATGTGTCAAACGAATGCTAATCCGTGAAAAATTACCTGATCTACTGTAAAGCTTGAGGGTGATATTAGGAGTGGTATTAAATGTTTATTATTTATAAAGTTGACTAGACACATTGGTAAGGAAGGAATTCCTGTGCTTTTAAATCCACAGGCCTGCTTGGTCCAGCCAAGAGGGAAGCCTGGCTGCAGCTGAGGGCTGAGATTGAAGCCCTGACGGACTCCTGGTTGACACTGGCTCTGAAAGCACTCACGCTCATTCACTCCCGGTAGGCTGTCCCCAAGTCACTCCATGGTGCTTTTGCTGGAAAACAGCCTTGGCTCATATTTGTTCACTTTGGAGATTCATTTTTCAACAGCCTTCTTTCTTTCTTTTTTTTTTTTTTCTTCGGTTCTCATAGGACGAATTGTGTGAATATTTTAGTCACAACTACTCAGCTTATCCCAGCGTTGGCGAAAGTCCTGCTATATGGATTAGGGATTGTATTTCCAATAGAAAATATTTACAGTGCAACAAAAATAGGTGAGCTGCTGTTGCTTGTTTTATACTCCACTCTTTCCCTTCAGGCTGGTAGAAGTGAATGAGTAAAAGTAAATGAGACTTTTTTCATAATGCTAGGTGTCAGAAACCTAGAAGAAGAATTTAATTTTATTGTCAGCATTGCCTTTAGACATCAAGAGAAATATAAATCATAAGCCATGCAGCTTAATTCAAAAAATGTTACTTTACTGGCTAACATTAAGACCTATGCATTTTAGCTATTGTCAGTTGAGCATCAATTCTGGATTATTATCTTACTTGCCTCATAGATAACATCAAAAAAATATCTAATACACTAAAACAAATAGTAGTATAGAGATATACAAAGTATAAATGAAACAATTCTAATAGCTTTCTTTAAATTATTATCACCGGAACTATTTTTTTTTGCTTTATTTTAATTCAATTTGTATAAACAGTTAAGTTCCCATTTTTGTTATGGAGATACCCAAAAAATTTAAGTTCTTGAAAGAAGGAATCATAGTTGGAGAAAGATGACTAATGTGAAATTTGGTTAGAATATAAACCAAGACAGACTAAAAGTGAAATTAAAAAAAGACATGACTCCTGTTCTTACAGAATTCACCATCTAGTGGGGGAAGCAGACACCTAAATAACTGTAACATGACAAAGAAGTGTGTAGATGAACATTTTTATCACATACTTAGTAGATGTGCAGAACTGTACTAAGCATTTTACATATTAAAATCAGTCTTCACAACCTTTCCATTTTACAAATGAGGACACTAAATCTCAGAGACTTAATTGTCCATGTTAATAGCCAGTAAAGGTAAGGGTCAAACTAGGTCTGATTCCAGTGTCCAGACTCCTTTCCATACCATAGGGAGTTTTCTACCACTGAGTGCCTGAACGTGCACTTGAATGAGGAAACATTCACTCCCCCCAGGAGGAGGCAGAGAGCAAGTGTCTGTGAATACTAAAAGGAAGAAATGTCATTTGAGCTAGGTATAGAAGGATACAGAAGAGTTTAGTAGGCAGATGGACTAGTGAGAGCAAAAAACAGAGACCTTAAAACGTGTTCCCTGCTGAGAGACTTGTAAGTGGTCCTGGGTCATGGGAAGCTGAAGCTGGAAAGGTAGACTTAGGTCTAGACATATGTGGCCTTGTTTATCACCCTGAGATGTTATTTCAGTGAGTCCTGGGGAAAGGAGATGAGGATCCTAGTAGATGGGAAGAAGGTTGTTTCTGGCTGCTCAACTCTATCTAAAGAAAAAGGACAAAAATGGAATCTAATTCTCCATCCAACTATACTTGTATACTTCCAATACTTTTCTTTAAAAGCATTTACTAAGTTATTGCTAAAGAATTACTTTTATAATTATTTGTTCATAGTCTGACTTCCCTATCAGACTGTAATAGCCACTGGGTCTGTCTGTGTTGCTCATCATTGTAGCCATGGTGCCCAGCACATACCAGGCGCTCAATAAATGTTACTTCAATAAAATGGATGAGTAAACAGTTGTTTATTCTGAACAAGGCTGACACAGAGGTTCTTTTTAAACACCTGGGTCAGTAATGACACTGTCAACTGATGGGAAAAATCAGATGTGATGGGAAAAATAAGAGTTTGATTTTATTAATGTTGAGAGTGAAAGTATTCACATAGCCCTGTCAAGTTGGAAATAGCTGGAGTTGGAGAATAACTGCTGCCTCTTGAGAAGCACCAAGAACAGAATGCTAGAAAAATATTTAGAAAGAGAAAGGAATGGGGCACCTGGCTGGCTCAGTCAGTTAAGCGTCTGCCTTTGGCTCCGGTCCTGATCCCAGGGTCCTGAGATCGAGTCCCACTGAGCAGGGAGTCTGCTTCTCCCTCTGACCCTCCCCGCTCTGGAGATTCCTCTTTCTCATTCTCTCTCTCTCTCTCTCAAATAAATAAATAAATAAAATCTTTAAAGAAAAAAGAAAGGGAATGTACCAAATAGAATTCCTGGTAGCCCAATATAACCAGATTTTTTTATATATTATCATATCTATGAAAATAACTATTTACATTAAGTCAGATATTTATGCTATCCATAACAATAAAGAGGAATCATGCTGTGTTTTATAAACAGGAGTCCATGGTAAACATTTATCAGCACATAAAAGAACAATGTCCAAAGAAGCTTATAGAATGGAAGGGATAGTGCTTAACTCCCCAGAAGGAAAGAACAAGTAGTGTATTTATTACATGTCATGTGCATTGAACTTTAATCCTGAATAATTTAAATAATTTGAAAATATTAAGATATTAGAAAATTATAACAAGTATATATTAGGTATTTTTAATGGGCATTTTGTTTGTGGTACTGAACTTTAATTTTTATTGATACAGAATTAAAAATGATTAAAAAAAAGTGGTAGGAATTATCTCAAAACCAGAGGTAGAACCACTCTTCTATGATATTTTTAATAAGAAAAGTAAATGGGGAGCCTAGGTGGCTCAGTTGGTTAAGTGTCCAAGTCAGTTTTGTCTCAGGTCATGATCTCAGGGTTCTGGAATCAAGCCCCATATTGGGCTCTGGGCTGGGCATGAGCCTGCTTAAGATTCTCTCTCCTTCTCCCTTGGCCCCTCCCCTCCTCATGCATCTATTCTCTCTCTCTAAAAGAATAAAAAATAAAAAGAAGAAGTAGCGATTGAAACTCCTCTAGTTTTGCTAATTTTGCAATCAAATGAGATATAATTTGGGAGTCAATGCAGAAAATCCAGGAATTTTCCTTTTAGACAAGTGGCAGTCATTGAAGGAGATGACTGGTATCTCGTTTAGCAGGGCTATGATGTTCTTCCGGATGAAATGGATTCATCAAAATGAAAATTCCATGTAGGACCTCTAATTAACTTCTAAAAGTCAGCTTCAGTTTCTCAGTCTTTATTATGGAAGACATCTATGTGACCCAGATTTCACAGTGAAGCCTATAGGAGATAGTATATAGGCGAGAAATTTTTTTGTCTACCACAGCCTCACCTGTAAATAACATTGAGTTTACCTTCCTTTTCCCATGAAAGGGAAACTTGGCAAAAACACATAAACATTTCCCTCTAAGGAGGAAAAGTTTCATGACATCTAAGTTTTTTATTGTATATTTTTGCAGTGAAAACCACACTTGGTATTTGTTTCTTAAAGTGATTTAATATTTCACAGTTTAGTGGGCATCTAAAGAAGCATTGAAATTACATCATTTGAATAAGGCTGGGCCCTATTTTTTTCTGTCAGATGCAAACCAGAGATTTTAGTGCAAAATACAAATATAAAGCAGACATTTGTTTAAGCAAACAAGCAATTTGTTCATGAGTGTATCTGATCCTTATTTGAAAGAGATGCGGGCCGCTCAGCCATTTACATTTGAAAACTATAAACTGTCCCATTGTCCATTAAAATGACCCTGTTGGCAGTGGGGGTCTTGGAACAGCAGTTTCTTCTCTAAAGGAGCAACAATGGCCGCATTAACTGCAGGGATGTGCCTCCTGAGAGCCCAAACCAAGTCTTGACATGGGAAAGATAATAGATGAAGGTATTCTGTTACTTTTATTCCGCTTTTCCTCTAGGAAAGTGCTTTATTGGACGTTAGATGCCTGGGTATGGCAGGCGTGATCTCTCTGTAGTGCCCCAAATTACCTGACATTTATTTCGGAAACAGCTTTACCAGAACATTTCAAGTAAACACATTAGGTTTGGCGGGGGGTCTTTCATTCAAATAGAATCCCAACTGGAAAACGAAGAAATAAACAGATCCCACCATTTGATTTCTCCTGCTATAACAAAACCTGTCAGTTTTTTTTTTTTCATCCTTCTCAATAGACTTGGGATCAGATATTATTTTCAAAGTTTGGTATATTGTAAAACATTTTTTAAATCAAGTTCAAATATGTTGCCAGAATCACATGCCTTCATTAAGTCTCAGCTGCTAGGAAAAAAGGACTGCTGCAAAACTATTTTTTCCCAAATGCTCTACTATGATTGACTAGATCCTACTTTTTAATAAATGAGCCCTTCGGAAAAGAATACTAAAATTGACAGTTTCCCAGTGGCTCAGTCATTAGGCCTCTGCCTTCAGCTCAGGTCATGATCCCAGGGTCCTGGGATGGAGCCCCAAATCAGGCTCCCTGCCCCCCCACGCGCACGCGCGCTCTCTCTCTCTCCCTCACAAAAATAAATAAATAAATAATCTTTTAAAAAATAAAATTGACAGTTTCTAAGGGACAAGTCACCACATGGATAATTTACAATTTGTAATTTACTGTGCTGTTCCAGATTCTATCCAAATGGCATCTAAATGCACTCTTCTTCAGTTTGTACAAGTAGGATAGAGTTGAATCGGAAGCATAAAGGAAGTATTTTGTATAAAATGTTCAAGCACTGTAGCTCTGAGTTACTCAAAATTTACACTTTTTATAATTTATTTTTATGTATTAGGAAAGGAAAGCTGTTTTGAGAGGATAATTCAAAGGTTTGGAAGAAAAGTGGTGTACGTCGTTATAGGAGATGGTGTGGAAGAAGAGCAAGGAGCAAAAAAGGTCAGTGTTCCTTTGATGGTGCATCTCATGCCATTTAATTTTTTAGTCTTCAAAATGCTTATAGCTGGATCATTTAAACAAGTTCCATTTCTCTGAAACAAATTACAAATGTGTTCAGAACTGTAAGCAATGAAAAAGGACAGAGTAGAATTAAATAAATATGGTCTTTTTGAAGAGTGCCCTACACCAATTCAAAGGTCGTGGATGATTGGTCTTTGCACAACTTAGACTTTTAAGCAGAAAGGAAGGTTTCGTGCTGTAGCCGTCATCCAGAACAGAGGTAACACATTTGCTGTGCTCATGTGAGCACGTCCCATTCTGTCCCATGGCAGACATTGCCAAGTGATTAAAACCTACCTGAGCCTGAATTCAGCCTAAGAACCTTCTAAACATCAATTCAGAAAGACTCTACCAGTTGGTCGGAGCTGGTTTGCCAAACTCTTTGCTGCCCTAGAGTATAGCGTCTTCTTTGTATCCCAAGGTCAACACCTCACCTCCCCTGGGACACTCGGAAAAGGGGAAAGGGTTGGAGCCAACCATGAGTCCCTTGACTCCCAGGTTGCCCACCATTCAGCTTTTTTTTCTTCTGCATCCCTGCGAGCGTCATTCTGCCATTTCCCTCAGCAAAACCTTGCTAATTAAGTGTATTCCATTGCATTTCAAAAGAGGAGGAGAAGGGGACCACTTTCTTCACTTGAGGACCACTCAGGGTCTTCAGTCTAGACACAGCCTACCTGGACAATCTTTCTCACCCCAGCACTTGGCATTGTAGTCCCTTTGGCCATGCCCAGCACTTTCTCCCAGCTGTCGCCTCTGCTTGGAATGTTCTTTTCCCCAATGCCCTACTGTCACTGTCTTATTCATTTTTCAAAATCCAGTGCCTGTACCACCTTTTCTATTTCCGTTATTTGTAAGAGCTTAATTATAACAGTACTCACTCACACTTTAATTGGAGAAGTTGTAAATAGCTTGGATATTTGAGCTGAGATCCTGGGTTTGAATTATAGCTCCACTGCTTACCAGTTCTGTGACTTTGAACAAGTTATGTATCCCTCCTCTTTCTCTTTCCTTATCTCTAAATGGCAATAATAACAGCATCGAGCTCATTGGGATATTTTAAGGATTAGATTTAGTTAAGATGTAAAACCCGTAACACAGAGCCTGGTATATATAAAGTGTGCAACAAATGATAGCATTGTTATTAATTATTTGTAGATATGCCTGTTTCAGCAATAAAAGGTGAGCTCAAGAGGTAGGGATCTTATTTTGCTTGGTTTGTTGTTTGAGACTTTGTTTTCAGGTGGTTTTTTTTTTTTAAAACTCCCTAAATCTTGATGCAGTCATACTCTCTAAATATTTTTTAAATTGAAGACCATTAAGTATTTTATGAGGTTACCCAATAGAATTATTTTCCCTTCCTTTCCCCACACACTGACTCATAGAAATCACTGTATATTTCCACGAAGGATGTAACAATTCAGCTCTTCTGGAGTATTCCAGTATATAACAGAAGTGACCCATAAAGTCACCAGAACATAGATGCAGCATTCAGCACAACACGTGGCCAGCCTTCTTAAGAGAGCCTAAAGATGATTTAATTCACCTTTAGTGCCTCTGAATTCTAATAAAAGCAGAGAAACAGACCCTAATTTTATAAATAATAGACTATTTCACTTATACCCATTGATACACAGTGTGCCCAGGATTACATGCTTCCCCAAGTAGGATCAGTGCAGATGGAAACCCACACACACTTCAGATCTAATAGAGGCTGATGCAAAGCTGCATTTGCCATATAACCACTAGTTCTGACATTCCAACTTTACCAGTGGGCAACCACCATGATCATTAGGTACATCTGTCATCCCTTTGGGCTGTTTTCGTAAAATGAAATTTTTCCCAGACTAAATTAGAATACCCAAAACTCAACCCCAGAGAGTGAAAGAGGATGTTTGATGGGAATCCAGACTCAAGTCTTCTTCCTGGGAAAAGCCTCTGGAATCCTCCATGCCATTCCTAGACAGGACTTCCTAGTGGCTAGCAGGATAGATGTGCAAATTTTCAGCAGCATAAAAATGAAGAGCCACATCTCATGCCCCTGTAGCCCAGGGCCAAAGATGTCAATCTGCCCACATGGCTGGTTGTCCTCCCTCGAGTAGTCACCAAAAAGTTTAGCTTCAGAAGGTTGCCAAAATGTGGCTTTCTAGCTTGTGGTAGGCAGAAGGATGCTTATAAAAGTGATGACTTAAAATGCAAGGAATCCTTTGGGCCCTAGCAAGGCTTCTGTGTGGGTAAGTCGCTTCCTAAACCTTTCAGAGTAGCAGGTTTCTTAGATGTTCATCATGGGTGAACATAACATGGAGAAGGTAAAGGAATTCTTGGTTTGATATTAGAACTGGAAGTGGTACTGCGGCTAAGAGTTTTTACTCTCTCTGCAGAACAGTGAAAACTGTTTCCACTGTTTAGCTTTGGGTGTGTTATTCTTTTTATTTGGGACAAACACACCTGTTCCAAAAAGAATTAGGCAGCTGCCTATGAAGAACATCCTCTTTGGATTTTTTGACTGTGAATGATTATTCTTAGCTTCAGCTCTGTGGTTTGATGTTGTGGGATGAGTATATGTGGTAAGGGTCCAATAGTGTGTGTTACAGACAAACTCTTTGCACCTTGAGGCTTACCAGTGTGGGAACTCTGACAAAATTGTGACCAGGAGTTATAAGACTGTTTATTGTGTATGTACAACATACGGATTTTTCAGAAGGTTCAGATTCCTGATAATCTCGCAGAAAATTCAGATGTCATCAATCTATCATCCACAGTGACGAATTGACCATTCCTTTCTTATATTCTGTCTAACCTTATTAGGTTAGCTAGTATTTAAATAGCAGTATTTTGTGCATGAGTTAAGCAATAGGGATCTAATAATTCACAAGAGAGGAGTTTTTCTAAGTGGACTTCACAGAAATAGAGAATATTTAACTTAGGGAAAAATGCTTAATTTAGGGGAAAGAGAATACTATTCAGCAATATCCCATTTTAAAAACTATATATAAAATTCAAGCTAAAGAAATAAATTAAGAGATGGTTATCCATGCTGTCAAAGGGTTAATAATCATAATGGTGAGAAAAAAGAATTGCTATCAGTTATAAAGCCCTTATTGTGTCCCACACTCTCTTTTAGGCACTTCTTACCCATTATCTCATTAAATCCTCATCATAATTCTATGAGGAATGAGTCCTTCGACCCACTTTATATATGAGAAAACCAAGGTGCAGGAAGGTGAATAATTTGGCCAAGATCACATAACTTGGAAGTAGCCAAACTAAGATTTGAAGCTAATTATATCTGTGAGATGGAGCACAAAGTTCCTTTAAATTATAAACTTGATTTACATATCCTAAATATTATTTGTTTAAAAAAGAATTTTCATGCTTATTTTTTAAATTATTAGAATAAAGTGTGCAATATTTGCTTCTTTTGGGAGGCAGATAGAACTGTTTAAGTGTTCTCTTTCTCCTAAGTTTACATTCATGATTAAAATTTTAAAAATAAATCATCGATTCTGATATTATAGGTTGTGAGTATTTTAGATTATTAAATAAAATAGTGAACCAGTCAAGTTCTGCAAGTTTGAGCACTGTTTTGCAAAATCAAAACATTTTGCAGTTTTTCTAAATCAATTTTAACCATTTAGCTTGTCTCTCCTAGTTTCCTAAGTCCTTTTAAAAATCTAATTGAACATTCTTTCTTTTTCCCTGTAGAGATGTCTTTCATCTCTCTAAATAATGTTCTTTTGCTTGAGGTAGTTACTTTTTTCACGCTCAGAAATTAAACCAGTAAGTATTCTGCCAGTCGCCTGTTTCGTTATGGTCAGTCGAAGTCTGTTCTGTCATCTTTGTTCTCTTTGCCAATATAGTCCCAGGGCTTTCAGTAATTTTATCTAATTCTATAATTCATATCATTAAAACACACCCCATCAAAGAGAAGTTGAAAATACCTTTGTTTATTTAAAAGAACAGCTTTCTTCCAAAAAGATCACATGAAAGAGTTTTCTGCAAGCACCTCTTTGTTCCTAGAAAGACTGCAGAGAATGTGAGAGGAGCCATCTACCTATGGATAACTTTCTCTGACCTGGATCTTTTGTTGTCAAGATCTGCCAGGCTTCCTTTTTTATCATAGGATTCCATGTTTCCCTAATACAATATATTTTGTGTGACAATGATAGGCATATGTATGATTTTTAAAAAGTCAAAATGTAAGTAATAGTCTTCTGCATACCAACAGCAGTTTTTGATTCTAGAGTAAAAGTAGCCTTGTTTTAGAACTCCACAACTCAACTAAACTTACTTTATTTACTTTTCAGAGAAATAGTTAAATCGCTTGTGAACACCAGGGAGAAAATGGCAGGCATCCATTATTCTGCATAATGGCAAAGGCTTCATCAATAAATGTCCATTTCATTCATTCATTCATTTTTTTTAAAGTAGAGCTGACACACACTGTTACATTAGGTTCAGATGTACAGCACAGTTATTCCACAACTCTATACAATATACTATGCTCCTTACAAGGGTAGCTACCATCTGTCACCATACAACACTGTTAAAATACCATTGATTATATTCCCTTGCTCTACCTTTGATCACCATGACTTATTCATTCCATAACTGGAAGCCAGTACCTCCCACTCTGCTTCATCTATTCTGCCCATCCCCACCCCCACCCTTGTTACCTCTGGCAACCACCAGTATATTATCTGAATTTATGGGGCTGTTTCAGCTTTTTTGTTTGTTCATTTATAGGTTTTGTTTTTTAGATTCCACATGTAAGAGAAATCATATGGCATTTGTCTTTCTCTGACCTACTGCACTTAGCATAATACCCTCTAGATCTATCCATGTTGCCACAAATGGTAAGATCTCACTTTGGTTGTGGGTGAGTAATATTCCTTACTATATATACCACATCTTCTTAATCCATTCATCTATCAGTGGACACT